CCAGGCACGTGTGCATGCGTGCCCAAGATCCTGAGAGGAGAATGGAAGAGAAGGGATTGCGGCGTGGCCATCCCTTCTGCGGGGTGATTTCTCGCTGTCTCTCTGTCTCTCTCTGTCTTTCTGGAGAGCGCACGTGTCCTATAGCAAAAACCTCTCAAAAAAAAAGAAAATACCAATACGTCAAAAACTCACACTCAGACACTCATGACGCCTGTACCCCGGAGTGGTCACCCCAGCTGGGCTTGACAGCCTCTCCCGTCGGCAGGTGTGATCCTGCTGCGGCTGGACCGGCTTCGGCAGGCTGGCTGGGAGCAGATGTGGACGCTGACAGCTAGGCGGGAGCTCCTCACCCTGCCCGCCACCTCGCTGGCCGACCAGGTCTGGGGAGACCTTTGGGCGGGGGGCGGCAGGCTGGGGGCGAGGTGCAATGGTCCTCTCTGCCCAGGACATCTTCAACGCCGTGATCAGGGAGCTGCCCGGGCTGGTGCAGCCCCTGCCCTGCGTCTGGAACGTGCAGCTCTCGGACCACACCCTGGCTGAGCGCTGCTACTCTCAGGCGTCTGAGCTCAAGGCAAGAGGGGCAGAGGCTGAGTGCTGGTGGGCCGGGGGGCCTGCTTGCTGCTCCCAGCCCTGCTGACACCCTCCCCATCCCAGGTGATCCACTGGAACTCGCCGAAGAAGCTGCGGGTGGAGACCAAGCACGCAGAATTCTTCCGCAACTTCCAGCTGACCTTCCTGCAGTACGATGGGACCCTGCTGCGGAGGGAGCTGTTCGGGTGTCCCAGCCACCCCCAGCCTGGGGCCGAGCAGGTGAGACCCAGCCACCATCCCCGGCCTTGGGGAGGCCCTGCTCCTCTCTGCTGTGCGGGACGTGACCTTGTGTGGGGGACATATCACCCTGCCCGGGCCCTTCTCTCCCTGACCCACTCAGTTGCAGAGGGCCCTGGCACAACTTGACGAGGAAGATGGCTGCTTTGAGTTCCGGCGGCAGCGGCTCACCGTGCACCGTGTGCACATCACCTTCTTACCGCACGAGCCGCCACCGCCCCGGCCTCACGATGTCACCCTGGTGGCCCAGCTCTCCATGGACCGGTGAGGTGGCGGAGGGCAGCACGAGGGAGCACGACCCGGGCTGAGTGGGGTTCTGAGAGGAAGGCTCTGCCTGGTGCTGGGGAAGGGAGCTGCCTGTCCCTCGAGGAGCTCCAGAGAGCAGAGACATGGGACACAGTGGACAGAGCGGGGCTGTGGAGCCACTGGAAGTCTGGAGCTGCTCCTCACTGGCCGCGGGGCCAGGGAAGTGTCCTGTCTCTTGCCACATGACAAGTGCCACCTGTGGGTAGTCGTGAAGGTCAAATAAGACCAGCTCGGAAAGTGCCGGAAGGGGCTCAGGAGGTTATCGGAGGGGGTGACAGCCGCAGCCCCCTTAGGGGAGGTTTTGCAGCCCTCCCTGGGCACCTCTGCTGGCCTCACTGGGCTGACCGCCCCCTCACCGCAGGCTGCAGATGCTGGAGGCCCTGTGCGGCCACTGGCCGGGCCCCATGAGCCTGGCCTTGTACCTGACAGATGCGGAGGCCCAGCAGTTCCTGCACTTCGTCGAGGCCTCGCCGGTGCTCTCCTCCCGGCGTGACGTGGCCTACCACGTGGTGTACCGCGAAGGTCCCCTCTACCCTGTCAACCAGCTCCGCAACGTGGCCCTGGCACAGACCCTCACGCCTTACGTCTTCCTCAGCGACATCGACTTCCTGCCTGCCTACTCGCTCTATGACTCCCTCAGGTGGGCCTGGACGGGGTGGGGGGACCTGCATGGGGCTGTGGCCCAACTGTCCCTGCCCCGTCCTGGGCCTGTGTCCTCTGTGAAATGGGGCCCCTGGGCAGTTTCTCTGGCCTGCCATAGAGAGGAGTCGCGGGGTGTCAGGGTGAGCCAGGCCACGGTGGTACCATGGTCGCTAACCCCTTTCATGACGCTCCTCCTAAGGGCCTCCATCGAGCAGCTGGAGCTGGGGGGGCGGAAGGCCGCGCTGGTGGTGCCGGCGTTCGAGACCCTGCACTACCGCTTCAGCTTCCCCAGCTCCAAGGAGGAGCTGCTGGCCCTGCTGGACGCCGGCTCCCTCCACACCTTCAGGTAGGAGGCCCAGCGTGGCGCTGCTGTTCCTGCATCAGCCCACACACGATCCCCTCACTTCAGCCTGGGCTCTGCCTGATCCCCTGCACAGGTACCACGAGTGGCCCCGGGGGCACGCGCCCACAGACTACGCCCGCTGGCGGGGAGCTCGGACCCCGTACCGCGTGCAGTGGGCGGCAGACTACGAGCCCTACGTGGTGGTGCCGCGCGACTGTCCCCGCTACGACCCTCGCTTTGTGGGCTTTGGCTGGAACAAGGTGGCCCACAGAGTGGAGCTGGATGCACAGGTGAGGGTCCCCTTCCGGTCTGCAGCCCCCGCTCCAATACCTCCAGGTCCAGGGAGCGCACTGCCTCTGCAGGGCGGTCCGCATGTGGGCGTCCACCTCGAGAACGAGGACCGGGCCTGCCAGCCCTTGCTCAGGAAGTCTGCTCCGAGCTTCAGCCTCCCGCCGCCCCCACCCGCAGGAGTACGAGTTCCTGGTGCTGCCGGACGCCTTCGCCATCCACCTGCCCCACGCACCGAGCCTGGGCATCTCGCGCTTCCGCGCCAACCCCGCCTACCGGGACTGCCTCCAGACTCTCAAGGACGAGTTCCTCCAGGACCTGTCCCGCCGCTATGGGGCTGCCGCCCTCAAATACCTCACTGCCCTGCAGCAGCCCCGAAGCCCCACCTGAGGCGCCCCAGGCCGGACCTGCAGGCCTGCCCTGACCCTCGCCTCGGCTCACACTCCCTGCAAATGTCGGATGATCTCGCCAGCCCCAGCCCACCGCTATTTAAATTATTTAAGGTCTCCGGGAAGGGCTGGGGAGCATCTGTGGGGTGCCCCTGTGGGGTGCCCCAGGCCTCCGCTGGTGTCCCTCTGCTCCAGCCAGTGTGGGGCTGGTTCCCCCCATCCTCCATTGTACTTCCCTTTTTCATAATTAAAGTTTTTTTTTTCTTTTTTAAGAGAGGTTTTTGCTATGGGGTATGTGCAGTTGCCAGAGAGACAGAGAGATAGAGACAGAAAGTGAGAAACTACCCCCCCAGAGGGGATGGCCGTGCCCCAATCCCTTCTCGTTTCCTCTCAGGATTTGGGCATGCGCACATACACACATCTGGTGTGTTTCAAGCCACCAGGTCTGGGACTTGAACTATGGTCTACGTGGGAGTCCAGTAATGTAGCCATTACGCCATCTGCTGGTCCCATAATTAAAGTTTTAGACATCTTGTGCTCTGGTGTGGGGATTCAGCCTCTCCAGGGCCACAGGCACCCACGTGGGTCCGGAAGAGTGAGCTGGAGCTGCAGCCTGTTGCCTACCCTCCCCGTCCCAAACCCAATACCAAGAGGCTGAAAGACTTTATTTGGCTTTATTTAGTAAAATGTTAAAATAAATAAATACAAATTGATCAGCTGCTCTGTATCCCCCCCACCCCCTCAAAACAAAAACCAAACAAACGAAAACAGAAACTTTGAAGCACAAAACTCCAAATACAAGTTCTACCAAGACTGAAATCACAAAGGGCACGGACAGGAGATGGGGTTGGGGTCTGGCTGGCTCTTCTCTGCTCGGAGCTGGCTGGCCTGGGCCCGCCGCCCGGCTGCAGCTCGCCCCGGGCTGAGGACCCGCGGCGCTGGAGAGACGCAGGGACAAAGGCTGTGGGGCCACTGTCAGGGTGGTGGGGTCTCCGGAGGAAGGACCTCATGGAGGGGTGCCGGGTGGGATTCACGAGCCCTGCTCTCCCTCTACAAGAGCTAGTTGGGAGAACGTCTGGAGTGGCAGCCCCTGGCGGCCGGCCTTTCACACCAGTGGAGGGCTAGGGGAACCTGCCAGGGCGCCCACTCCCCTAGGGAGCTGCAGCCGCGGAGGAGAGGCTGGGGGGCGGGGGGTGACTGGGACGCCTCTGTTCCAGCTGAGGGCGGGGCAAGGTCCAGCCATTACATGGAGCAAAGTCGTCTCCTCCTAACGGTAGCCGTGAGATCTGGAGAACCTGGGGCCCGGACGTGGACCTGGGCCACCGTCTATCCTACCGCCCTAAGAGCCTTTGCCCCTGGGTAAGTCTAAATTCAGCCCTTTAGAGAGTCAGGACCATGCCTGCGGAAATGAAGGGAAGAAACCACAGAGTGTGTGTGAGCTGGGAGCTGCGAAGCGAAAGCCCCAAGAGAGAACGTTCCAGAGGTGGCAGAGAGGAAGCTGGACCTGAGACTGCAGGGAGCGGGACACGCAGCCACCCTTCTGGAGAGCTGTGCACCTCGGAGCAGGGATAGGGAGGCTGGGCCTGCGGGGAGCGGTCACTCGGAGGATGCCTGCCAGAGGCTGTCGGGCCAAGTCGCAGGCTCTAGAAGCAGGCCCAGCCTAGGAAGGCCAGTGGGACCCGCCCGTCACTGTCTCCCTGTCAGCGCCAAGCAGCGGGAAGAACTGGGAAGTGGGATGAGCTCAGCGTGAGACAAGCCCCAGCAAGCCGCGTGAGGGAGACGACCTGCAGGCAGCAAGAATGCAGGAGGTGGGATGGCACAACCTGACGTTGCCGCCCTGGGCCAGCCCGAGCCTGAGGACGGGACACAGGAGACTCCTGTCAAGGGCCAGGGTGGCCCCTCCCTGGCAGCTGGTGGCAGGTGGGTGGCGTCGGAGCAGCTGCACTGGGCCATGGGAGAGCGTGGCGAAGGGGAGCAGAAGGAAGCAGAGGCAGCGGGGGTGGTGGTGTGAGTATTCTCGGGGGTCACAGGCACCGACGCGGCAGAGGGGACAGAGAAGACTGCGTCTCTTGGCAGAGGAGTGAACAAACGGTGGAGTGACCAGGGCCTTTCCTTTCCCTCATAAAACTGAGTTTGGGAATCTGAGTCCAGAATGTGGTTTTGGGGGGCAGGGCGCGCTCGGTGCCTGATTCTGGCTGACTCACAGAACAACTATCAGGGGACTGGCAGGAAGATCCTGGCCCCCAACTTGAGGTGGGTCAGAAAGGTTAGAGTTCAGGTCCCAGTGACACCCTGGGGCAGCTCTTCTTCAGCACGGGCCTCCAGTGCCACCTGCACTCCCAGGACAGCGATGGCACAGCAGAAGCCGGCCGGGGAGCTCCGTGGGGCGCACGCAGCCCACCGGACAGCCCTCACCTCCACCAGCGCGCCCTCCAACTAGCATGGGCGTCTCCAGGGCTCCCTGACTAGGCTGAGCACCTGGTTTCTAGCGAAAAGGGAGCTCTTTTCTATCCCCCTCAGTCAGCTGAGCAGCCAGCGCCCGACTCTGAGCTTAACTCCCTGTTCTGACATCCCGGGGAAGAGCAGCGAAAGGCCGGCATGGATGAGACGCGGGCCACTCTGGGAAGCCTGGCTTCTCTGCATTTGCTCTCGGGACCCTTTCTGTCTCTCCGGGCCTAAGGGGTGAGGGAGCAGCTCATGGGCCCTCTTTGGCCATTCTTAGGGCCTGGGGCCAGCCTGGGACAGATGCTCCAGGAGGGCCAGGGTGCAGGGCCTCCGCCTCCCTCCCTGCCACCAGCCAGGCCCACGGGGCAGAGCTTCCTGTGACAGCACCCGCCTGACACGCTGCATGCCCAGCAGCATGGTGAGAGAGCCAGGCAGAGCCTTTCAGAACCCTGGTTCTGAAAGAAGGAGCAGCCGCACAGGACCAGCCAAGGCAGGGAGGGATTCTCTTCTAGCCCAGGGCCGCCCAAGAAGCTTGGGGGTGGTTCAGAGTGGAAGAGGAAACCCATCCTTGGGGCCTGGAGCCAGAGACAGAGAAAGTGCTGGAGCTTTGGACCACGCCACGCTTCACAGGCAAGGCAGACACGCAAGCCTCCTTGGGCTCTGTCTTGAGGAGACCAGGCACCCTCAAACGTCTCGCTCATCTGTTCTGTCTAAGCACTGAGGGCTGACGCAGCCAGCCTGCACCCCTGTACCTGCCCCACAGGGCCAGGGTGCGCGGGCACCCCTGAGCTCTGTGGCTGTCTCCCTCAGATGTGTCCCCAGGCACTCAGGATGCTGGTGGCCGAAAGACCGAGAGCAGCACCACGGGAAGGGCCTCACTGAGGCACCAGCCTTTGGCTCTAGCAAAATCCGAGGAGACCGTGGGCAGGGCCTTGACACCTTCCACGCTCCACTGGGGCTCCCGAACAGGATCCCTGCACCAAGAAGACAGTCTTTTCTGAGAGGGGGAGCACGCCAGGGAGAGCCCCAGCACCGCCCTCGTGGAGGATGGCCCGCCAGTCAGAGACACGCACTCAGCCGAATGTCATCGTGGTCAGCAGGTTCTGTGCTAAAAAATTATAACTACACGGCATTTTCTCCAGTTCTGACACCTTTTTAATAGAAATCACTGTTTTTAGGAAACAAATAGCACTTCTGTAATTTTTTTTACAATGTTTCTTACCTTGATCTTAATTTAAGTAACACTAGGAAGACCTCAATATCTTTTATTTTCCTTTTTAATTAAAAAAAAAAAAAGTTGTTTTTTTTTCCCCCAGATACAAAGATTTTTGCCCTTGCATAAAAAAACAGTGCCGAACGATGACACAAGGACTCACAAAGACTCACGGGACCTCACGGACACTATGACCCCTACTCTACCATGCAAGGTCTCGACTACCCTTCACTGGACTGTCAGCCTGAAAAACAGCTTTTCTATTCCTTATTTTAGTTTTTGTTACCAAAAAAAAAAAAAAAAAAAAAAGTAAAATAAACAACAAAATAAAACTTTCTTTAAAGAAAAAAAGAACAAAAACAAAAATTAAAAAAAGGGAGATGTCTCCATTCAGTTCACACACACCCGGGTCGGCGCTGCTGGTGCAGGCTCTTCTTATAAATATAGAAAAGGGATGGAGCTCGTTTTCAAGTGAAGTCACTGGTGCACCTTCCTTCCCTCTTGCGGGGCACACGCACCCTTACTCCCTGGCTTGGGCAAGGGCCAGCGCTGGCTCTGCAAGTTCTTGGCGAGGGACATAAGGGGTGACCAGGGGGGTGCGGGAGTCACCTGGCAGGGAAGGAAGGGGCTGCATGAGGCGGCTCTGGGGGCAGCAGCGCAGCACTGGGAGGAGAGCTTGAGGCCTCCTGGTCCCCACCCCACCCTGCACCGGCCCTCCAGACAATAGGAATACTGCTTATGCGACACACGGCCCTCCCCACCCCTCTTCTGGGCACTGGGGTTGGTTAAATCTCGATTTCCTTTTTTTGGTTTTATAGTAGTGTAAGTTTAGAAACAGGAAAGCCCACACGCTCTTTGGACTTGTCTTCTCTACCTAAACAAACGGCTCGGCAAATAAGGATCTGAAACCTGCTCTCCTCCCTCCGCCCGTCCCTGCTCCCACCCAACAAAACAAAAACAAACCCATGGTGGCTGTGGAGGCTGCTGCAGGCACACACTGGTGTATAATAGAGAGAGTAAATATATTATTTCACTTGGCATGGTGCTGGCAAAGAACCTCCAGCTGGCACTATTTCATGTAACATGGTCCAATCTTTGCATGTACACACAGAATAAGAAGGATCAATTGGCAAACTCTGGTGCCACCTGGCACAAGCATCTTCTCTCTCTCTGGAACCAAAGAACCAAAAGAATTCTGCACTTTCCAGAAGAAACCTGGCGCCGCTCTTCTAGAGTCTTCAGTGTTTCGCGCTCTTCGCCGCCAGGCCCGGCGGCCTCTCCTGGAGGGGCTCTGTTATTTAGTCTCTTCCCCCTGGTTACAGTTCGCTGTGCAGCTCTGGGAGGAGGGGGAAGGGGCCGGCGTGGAGGGGGCGGCGCTGGGGGGGGGGGTGCAGGGGGGTGCGGTCTGGGCCATTGGCCATGGCCCCCACAGTGGCCTCAGAGTCTACGGGTTTGGAGAGGTCGATGCCGTGGATGAGGCGGATCAGCTGCTTTACCTTCTCCAGGGAGCTGTGCATCTCCTTCTGCCGGGCCAGGATGGTGTTCTTCATTTCCATGCATTTCTGCAGCAAGAGAAGGGTCAGGTTGAGCCTCTTGCTTTTCTTTTCTTTCTTTTTAAGAATTTTTTATTTTAGGAGACCAGCAGGTGGCGTGATGATTAAG